GAGGGGAAACCTTTATACACATCAAAGGATCCACTCAGGAGAGAAACCACATAAATGTCTGGAGTGTGGAAAGAGCTTCAGTCAGAGGGGACACCTTCATAGACATCAGAGGATCCACTCAGGAGAGAAACAGCATAAACGTCTGAGGTGTGGAAAGAACTTCAGTGAGAGGAGAACAGAAGGAAGACTCGGGTATCCCCAAAGAATGCAAAAGGGAGAAAAGAAATATCAATGCACAGAATGTGAAAAATCTTTCAAAACAAATACAGCTCTTGTAAACCATCTAAGAATCCACACAGGAGAAAAACCATTTAAATGCCTGGAGTGTGGAAAGAACTTCAGTCAGAGGGGACACCTTTATACCCATCAAAGGATCCACTCAGGAGAAAAACCGCATGAATGCCTGAACTGTGGAAAGAGCTTCAGTCACAAAGGAAACCTGTATAAACATCAAACAATTCATACTGGAGAAAAACCATATGAATGCCTGGAGTGTGGAAAGAGCTTCACTCAGAGCAGCAACCTTTATATACATCAAAAGATCCATTCAGGAGAGAAAGAGCATAAATGCCTGGAGTGTGGAAAGAGCTTCACTCAGAGGAGCAGCCTTTACCTACATCAAAAGATCCATTCAGGAGAGAAAGAGCATAAATGCCTGGAGTGTGGAAAGAGCTTCACTCAGAGGAGCAGCCTTTATGTACATCAAAGGATCCACTCAGGAGAGAAACATCATAAATGCCTGGAGTGTAAAAAGAGTTTCAGACATAGCAGCAGCCTTTATGTACATCAAAGGATCCACTCAGGAGAGAAACCATTTAAATGCCTGGTATGTGGAAAATGCTTCAGTCGGACGGTACACCTTTATACCCATCAAAGAATCCACTCAGGAATAAAACCATATAAATGCCTGGAGTGTGGAAAGAGGTTCACTCAGAGCAGCAGCCTTTATGTACATCAAAGGATCCACTCAGGAGAGAAACAGCATAAATGTCTGGAATGTGGAAAGTGCTTCACTCAGAGGGGCAACCTTTATACCCATCAAAGGATCCACACAGGAGAAAAACCATAAGAATGCTTGGATTGTGGAAAGAGCTTTACTGTGAGTGGACAGTTCCGCAAACATCAAAGGATCCACAGTGGAGAAAAACCACAGAAATGTCTGGAGTGTGGAAAGAGCTTTTCCGATGTTGTACACCTTCATTAATATCAAAAGATTCCCATGGGGAAAAACGCTAAATATGCCTGAGTGTGGAAAGACCTTCAGTCATGATACTTGTAAACGCCCTTGAAGATGCCTGGCACAAACTGGTTCCATGTTGATTTGCTCTTCCTCAGCTATCATTCCCTCCCGCCACTAGTTCCCACGATAGGTTTCTTGCCCATTTCCCCCCTCTCCTAGACATTTGACGGCAGGACGCTTGACAGGGTCCTTGGGAAAGAAGGCGGAAAGGGGAGGCAAGAAAGAGACGCTGGGGGGTGTGGACGGCTGACCCAGCCCTGCCTGCCCCTGCAATGTATTTTGCAGATATCCTTCATGATAGTTTGATATACTGCCCTAAAACTTAACCACCTTAAAAACAGGCCAAAACAGCCTCCCCCCCCTAAAAGGAAACCACCAAGGCCCCAGCTTTCCTGCAAGAAACCTCCAAAACTAATCCATTCAGGTAGAAAAACAGCCCATCTGGCAACAGTTCTTAGCCAACATTGCAACTCATCCTCCCCAACTGGGATGTTTATCTTATTGTCCATGTTTCTGATGTAACATTTCTTCCATCCAATCAAGTATTCTTTTCTACTTTTTCCAGTGAATGTGTCCTGGACTCCTCTTTTCATTAGGGGAAACCTCTTTGTTAGATTACTTTAATCAGTTGCCTTTAAAAGATCTTCTAACTCTGCCTAATTCGAACAATGTAATGTGGCAGAATCTAGGCGTCTGACCTGCCCCAACCGGGTCCCTTAGGAAAGAAAGACCCTCGACTTCATCGGATTGAAGTAAAAGGTGCCTCTGGTACAAACCAATTCTGGCCTTCTATGGTCTTCATCACCTGTTATTTCCCCCCCCCCCCCTTATTTCCTATCATGTACACACAATCGTATTGTCCATTTGTCCACCCACCCACCCAAATGCCCCTCCAGATGGCAGGAACTGGCAGGACCTGACACTAGGGCTAATTCGACCTTCACTGTTGTGCGTGTAACAGAGCTCCTCCCTGTCATTGTTTGATACAATCTAAATGGGTTTTCCAAATGTCAGCCCCATGCAAGACAATCCCCAGTTATCTGAAACTCTTGTAAATTGGATGCTCTCAATGGTCCCCTCGTCTTTAACGCTTTTTAACAGAAACGAGGCTTTCTAAGGCCAACAAAGGTTTTTGAGATACAGGTAATCCCCAAGTTACTAATGTTCCCTTAGTGAATGTTCGAAGCTACGCAATAAGCGCCCCCTAGTATTTACAAAAAAGTCCCTTAATTACCAATGTTGCTGAGCCACAGCAGTTGTTCACCCTTACGAACGACCGCAGTGGCACTGGAACATTCACCCTGATTATTTTCTCCCTTCCCCCCCCTCAGTAGGGTCTCCCTAGCCACTAGAGTAGAGTAGAATGAATAGAATAGAATCTGGAAGGGACCTTGGAGGTCTTCTAATCCAGCTCTCTGCTCAAGTAGGAGAACTTGTCCTATACCAGGGGTAGGCAACCTTGGCTCTTTTATGACTCGTGGACTTCAACTCCCAGAATTCCTGAGCCAGCATGGCTCAGCTTGGAAACCTCTCCCTTTCCCCTCAGCATGGCTGGCTCAGGAATTCTGGGAGTTGAAGTCCACGAGTCATAAAAGAGCCAAGGTTGCCTACCCCTGTCCTATACCATCTCAAACAAGTGACTGTCTACCCTCTTTTTAAAAATCTGTGGGAAGCTGTTCCACTGATTGATTGTCCTCACTGTCAGGAAGTTTCTCCTTTATTCCAGGTTGCTTCTCTTTGATCAGTTTCCATCCATTGTTTTTTGTGTTGCCTTCTAGTGCTCTGGAAAATAAGTTGACCCCCTCTTCTTTGTGGCAGCCCCCCAAATACTATAATACTGCTATCATCAAGCATCTGTTTTAACATGGGTGAAAGAATGGATAATGCTTAGAAACAAAAGGTTGTTGTATCTAGAGGGACATGATTTACAATTGGGGTGGCACGCTTTCTTATGGTATGGGAAAAATAGAGCTCATAAGTTTTTTCAAAATCACTATATAAGAAATGCCTTGTTAACAGTATGGGAAAAAAATAAAGCTAAAATATACCTAAAAATTCCAGGGTGGTTATCAACAATGGAGGCATTTGTACATTCGAACTTGGTAGACTTTGAAAAAATATGGGCATATAGCGATATTCTAAATATTGATGGGAATTTAAAATCTAAGCAAGAACTGGAAAATCGGGATCAACCTGTCGTGATGGACACATTTACAGATGCAAAATAGATATGAAAAAGATGTGAAAATGTATGTATTCTATAAAGATCAAACTGTGTTTGATAGGATTTTGTTAACCTCAGATAAGAAATTAATTAAGAAAACGTATAATTTTTTGTTAATTTTGGAAATGGAAAGTGAACAAGTTAAAGAAACAATAAGATGGGCGAAAAACTTTGGCTATAATATAGAACTAGAAAAGTGGCAAATGCTATGGGAGAGAAATTACAAATTAACAATGTCAACTTCATATAAAGAAAACTTGTATAAAATGTTTTATAGATGGCACTTGCCACCAGCAAGATTAGCAAAAATGTTTAAAAATATGTCAGATAGATCCTGGAAATGTAAACACAACGCAGGCACGTACTGTCACATGTGGTGGACATGTGGCAAAGCCAAGGTTTATTGGAAAAAGATACATACATGGTTAGAAAAAATATTAGGTGAACACGTTGATTTTAAACCTGAACTTTTTTTACTAGGTATAATGCCTGAAAAGATTAATAACCAGAGTTTATATTTAATTTTACACATCACTACAGCAGCGAGAATAATCTTTGCACAATACTGGAAGAATGAAGGATTGCCATCAGAAGAAGAAATAATCCGAAAAATATTGGAATGTGCAGAGATGAACAGATTAACTATGAGACTGAAAGATAAAGAAGACACAGACTACTACCAAATTTGGGACTTATTTTATTGTTGGTTAGAGGAAAGAATGAAGGATTAGGAATAGAATATGTATTAGGATAGCTAACCCCAGACAACTCGTTGATTGGAAAAATTAACATATATATGCAAAAGAAAACCAATAAAATCTCTATAAAAAATAAAACAAAACAAAATCTATGCCTTTCTTCAGAATGACACAGAATTAACTTCAAGGCTCTTTTACATCTGGATGGAACCTTCAATATTACTGAATGCACAAACCCTGTCAGGTCCACCATCGTGCCCTGCCATTCTTGGGAAGGGGGGGGGGTGTTTGCTGGCGATATTGCTTGCTTTTTGCTTTGTTGTAACTACTTGGTAATTTAAGGAGGGGGACATCTGCTGGTGGACTGGTGAGGGGGGTGGGCGGGCTTGGGCATAGTAAGCCAGCCTACCAAAGAGTGCCAGGTTCATTTTACCTGCCGCAGGTAATCCTCAACTGAGAATCATTATTCAAAGTTGCAACAGCATTGAAAGAAGGGACTTATAGCCAGTCCTCGCAGTTACGACCATCACAGCACCCTCATAGGTCACATAATCCAAATTTCAGGCACTTGGCAACCGGTGTGGATGTAGGACCCAGGATCACGTGATGCACCACTGGACAATTTCTGTTGCTAAGTTAGACATTTGTTAAGTGAATTTTGCCCCATTTTACGACCTTTCTTGCCACTGTTGCTAAGTGAATCCCTGCAGTCGTTAAGTCGGTAACACAATTAAGCGACCTTGGCTTCCCCATTGACTTTGCTCATCAGGTCACAAAAGCCGATCACGTGACCCTCTCCAGGCACTGCGACCGTCATAAATATGAGTCAGTTGCCAGGCATTGCAATATTGGATCAAATGACCACGAAGGTCGTAAGGGTGAAAAATGGTCATAATCCTTTTTTTCAGTGCCGTTGTAACTTTGAATGGTCATTAAGTGAACTGTTGTAAGCCGAGGACTACCTGTATTATGCCTAAAATTTTCATTCACCTAGAGACGATTGTGCTCTGCGCTGCCTTTTCAGACTTCGCCTTGTCCTCCCGCAATCACTGTTTCTCCATAAAAGTTCTTTTGATGCAACTGGATGGATTCAGAGTCTTCCTTTGCTGAGGTACCAGCTGAGGCAGTTCCTTACAAGCCCAAAGCAGAAGCCCACCCAAAAGAGTCAGTCTTTGTGCCTTTAAGCCCTCCATGGACAGGCTTATCAACTCAAAGGGTCTAGTGAGCTTCAAAGAATAGTTAATAGCAGTTCTTCCACTGCTTTTACTTTACTTTACTTTACTTTTATTGGACTTATATGCCGCCCTTCTCCCCACGGGACTCAGGGCGGCTCACAGCATATTAAAACAATATAAAACATTATCCCCAATAAAAACCAATTAAAAAACAAATATTTGTCGCTGTGTCTTATTAAAATCATTAAAATTGTCCCTATTTAAAAATTCACCGTAGGCCAGACCCGCTTGCTGAAAAAGCCATGTCTTGAGGGCGCGGCGGAAAGCTAGGAGATCCGGAATCGTCCGGATCTCGGGGGGTAGTTCGTTCCAGAGGGTGGGGGCACCCACAGAGAAGGCCCTCCCCCTGGGGGTCGCCAGCCGACACTGCTTGGCCGACGGCACCCTGAGGAGGCCCGCTCTGTGGGAGCGTANTGAGAATCATTATTCAAAGTTGCAACAGCATTGAAAGAAGGGACTTATAGCCAGTCCTCGCAGTTACGACCATCACAGCACCCTCATAGGTCACATAATCCAAATTTCAGGCACTTGGCAACCGACGTGGATGTAGGACCCAGGATCACGTGATGCACCACTGGACAATTTCTGTTGCTAAGTTAGACATTTGTTAAGTGAATTTTGCCCCATTTTACGACCTTTCTTGCCACTGTTGCTAAGTGAATCCCTGCAGTCGTTAAGTCGGTAACACAATTAAGCGACCTTGGCTTCCCCATTGACTTTGCTCATCAGGTCACAAAAGCCGATCACGTGACCCTCTCCAGGCACTGCGACCGTCATAAATATGAGTCAGTTGCCAGGCATTGCAATATTGGATCAAATGACCACGAAGGTCGTAAGGGTGAAAAATGGTCATAATCCTTTTTTTCAGTGCCGTTGTAACTTTGAATGGTCATTAAGTGAACTGTTGTAAGCCGAGGACTACCTGTATTATGCCTAAAATTTTCAGTCACCCAGAGATGACTGTGCTCTACGCGGCCTTTTCAGACTTCGCCTTGTCCTCCCGCAATCACTGTTGCTCAGTAAAAGTCCTTTTGATCCAACTGGATGGATTCAGAGTCTTCCTTTGCTGAGGTACCAGCTGAGGCAGTTCCTTACAAGCCCAAAGCAGAAGCCCACCAAAAAGAGTCAGTCTTTGTGCCTTTAAGCCCTCCATGGACAGGCTTATCAACTCAAAGGGTCTAGTGAGCTTCAAAGAATAGTTAATAGCAGTTCTTCCACTGCTTATTAAACTCAGCCCTTCTCTTTGCTAGGAAGTGATGATAGAAATATTAGGCGTATTCTACCAAATAACTGGTGCTAGCCAGGGGTATGTAGGTATGCATTACATTTATACAACCTCACACTTTAATAAAAGCAGAACACAACACAGAAGCCAATAAAGAGACTCCCAGCTCCTCCAGACACAGCATATTCCCACTTTCTGGAATCATAGAGGGTCTCCTGCTGGAGGAGGGGGTTGGACTAGAAGACCTCCAAGGTCCCTTCCAGCTCTGTTGTTCTGTTAGCTGATGAGAGAGCTTCCTGCCTACATCTAAACATGCCTGGAGAAGGTCACTGGGCTCCAGCATCAGATTACCTCAGGCATTGAGTGCAGAAACAACCGGAACATTAAAATGATTTCAAATCGTAGAAAAGGGGCTTTGGGGGAGGTGGGGGACATAGAAGTTCGAAAGCCTCTGAAACTGCCAGCTCAGGATCCTCTCTCATCCCGGGAGAAGCTGGCTGGAGTCTGAGAGAGCAGCAGGAACCCCTCCAGCCTTTGGGGGGGGCGTAGGAAGCACGGAGAGCCCCCCAAGGCCGAGGGTCTCGGGCCAGGCTCCCCGGGGAGAAAGGGGCGCATGGGGGGGGCAGAGCGGGGGGGAGGGGGGGAAAGCCTTTCTGGAGGCTTCGACCTCAGGACGCCCAGAGGTCAGAGAGGCCCAGATATTAAGGGGGGGTCCTGGAGGGGATCCCCCCCCCCGCTGCAGTCTGGCAAAGGGGTCCCGGGGAGGAGGCGGGAAAGGGGGCGGGGGCGGCATTGCGGGGCCCGGCTGCCTGGAGGCCTCGGGGGGAGCCTGGCCGGAGCCCCCCAGGAGGGCCAAGGGGGGATGCGCCCCCCCAGTTCCCCCACCCCGGCCCTGCCAAAGTAGAGAGCCCAGATGTGGGAGGGGCGGAGACGCAGCCCCGGAAGGGCCCCCCAGCTGCGCCTTCCTGGATGCGGGGCGAGGGGGGGGAAGAGCGGACCCCAAAGTTCAAGCGGACACCCTCCTCTCTCCTCCATGCCGGGAACAAAAGCTACTGCGCAGGCGCCATCTGGTTAATTCAAGGAAGGAGGACGCCGATTGGTCGCTCTGGCGATGGCAGCGATTGGCAGGAGGACACTTCGGGGCGGTCCGTGTAGAAAAATAGGCGGGGCCTCCAGAAAAAGGCCTCGCACATCTGGGATTAAGCAGAACTGAGGCGTTTCATCGATTCGGCCGCGGACGGGCTCGGATCCAGGTAGGGCGCAAAGGATGCTGGGAGTGGCAGTTCGAGAGGCTCTCTGGCGGGGAAGGGAGGGAGGGGGGAGGCCGAGGCCTGGTCTGGCGGGACGGGCGCTGGGAGGGAGGGCTGCCCGGAAAGTCTCACTGAGAGGCGCCATATGATGATGGACTGGGGGAAGAGGGACGTAGATTGGGCGCTCTGGGCAGGGCAGCGATTGGCAGAAGGACTCCTAGGGGCGGGTCCATTCAAAGGAAAGAGGAGGAGCTACCGGTAACAGGCAAAGGGCTCGCAGCGAAGTCCCGCCTCCACTTCCGGAAACGAAAAGAATTGAACCGCCCTAATTGATTCAGCCGCGGAGTGGCTCGGACCCAGGTAGGGCGCAAGGGATGCTGGGAGTCGCAGTCCGAGAGGCCCTCTGGCGGAGGAGGGAGGGAGGGAGGGGTGGAGCCCCGGGAGGGAGGGGTGGAGCCCGAAGCCTGGTCTGGCGGGACGGGCGCTGGGAGGGAGGCCTGCCCGGAAACTCTCACTGAGAGGCCGAGGCTTCGGCCTTCCTACGCGGGAGGGTGGGCGGGCCTGGGACTCCCCTCCGGGGAAGGGATGAAGCCGTAAACCGCCTCTCCTTCGCCCCTGCAGGAGGACGGGCGAGCCCGGCGGAGGAAGGAAGGAAGGAAGGAAGGAAGGAAGGAGGCGCCGCCCGAGAGGAGAGGAGGCCCCGCGGAGCAGCCCCGGGAGGAGACGGCGGGGGAGGCCCGGCAGGGATGAGCCGAAGGGGACTCCGGGAAAGGAGGCCGCCTGGAGGGAGAAGCGGGGAGCAGGAAACGGGCGGAGACCCCGAGACGGGCCTGGAGGGCGG